GTCATAGAATGTAAAAATATTTCTCTAAGTTTTCCCTACTTTTCTGTGTCAGAGATGCCATAAAGAAATTCTCTGGCCTGGGCTGTTTGATAGTAGGTTATACCTTCATTCCCAAAAGGAGCTGATCTCTGCTATGCAGAGAGGCCAAGAAGCACCTAAACAGACAGGCCTTGCCGGCTTCCCCCAGTGGATACCATTAGATCCTATCCTTTTGTCTAATAACAGTTCTATGTGGCTATTCATTCGGAGTGTTTTCCCTGGGTCTTCATTTCTAAAGGCTCCCTGTCATACAAAACTTTGATTAAATACATTTGCTATTTTTTTCTCTTGTTAACTAGCCTTTTGTTTTATGCAAGTTTATAGTCTGTGACCCTTATAATGGAGATCAAAGGTATCACACCTTTCTATCTCTATAAGCAAATTAAGAGTTTTACCTTTGATCAAAAGTAGAAGAACCAAGCTGTAAAACTAGAATGGGCCCAAGAAGAAAGCAACTGCTTCAATTCAGATAGAAGATGTCCCCCCAAAAACTCTCATATTAAACAATGCAAGAATTTTCAGAAGTCAAATGATTAGATTATGAGGGCTCTAACCTTATCAGTGGATTAATGCATTGGATGGGTTAATAATTTGAATGGAACACTGACTGGTCACTACAAGTAGGTAGGTCACTGAGGGTGTAGCTTGTACTATATCTGTCCCTGGTCCCTTTCTGTCTTTCTTCTTCCCTGATGCCATGACCTGAGCATTTTTCCTCCACCACATTTTTCTGCCTTACTTTAGGCCCAGAGCAATAGAGTCTTCCAACCATGGAGTAAACCTCTGAAACCCAGAGCAAAAAATAAACTCTTCCTCCTCTAAGTTGTTCTCATTGAAAGGGTAAAGTTTCTAAGCTGCAAAGCCTGAGTTAAAATGTAAAGGACTAGGTATTGTCAAGTTTCTGAACTGCACACAGAACCTGAAATTCCTGAGGCAGTTAAGACAATGCCCAGTACTGACCATTTAGTTGTTAAATAACCTGGACCCTGTGCAGTTTGGCACGTAGGCATTCAGGGCCCAAACCAATCAGTTTGAATGTACTCCCCTTCTTAGGACTGACCTATCACTTCCACCCGACCTGTTCCCGCCAATGAATGTACTAATCATGTTTGGGAATTGTTGTTTGATTTTCCCGGGTGTATGGTGATTTGTTAAAGGAGACTGTGATGTATGTAAAGCCCCTGCCCTCCCTAAAAAAGGGTACTTAAGCACTGCTCAACCCCTGCTCAGGGCTCTTGGCTGCCCTCCCTTGTTGAGTGAGCCTGGAGCCCCAGCGCGCTGGATTGGATCCTCAATAAATCCCCTTTTTCTGTTGCATGAGCCAGTCTCTTGGTGGTCTCTTCCTCAGATGTTCGCCGGTCCCTTACATCATCAGATATTTCCATTGATAATGAAAAGCTGACTAATAGAGCAAGCATACAGGATCAGATGTTATTGAGAATTCTCAAAAGATATAAAAATGACTGTCCCTAGCAGACCAAGGACAATAAGAAACCTAAGCTTGTGGCAAAATTCCTTATTGTACTTAATGCTCTATTTAAGCAATATGTGGAGGAGAGAATTTTGCCACACATTCTTCAGTGCTAGAGTGATTAAAGAAATTTATCAGGTAATAGGAAAAACAAAGGCAATATTCTAGCTCACACTGTAAAAATCAAAACCTAATGAAAATTATTCTAAAAAAAAGAAATAAAGAAAGAAAGAAAACCCACCTGTTGAAGGAATGAACTGTGTGGGCCCCTTTCTCCTTCATTTTATCGTCTAATAACAGTTCGATGTGGCTTTCCATTCTGCATGTTGTTACCGCTGTTGACCGACCGGTGACGAGTCCTTGCTTCCCCATGTTGGAGAATAACACCAAAGAAGCACACCGAGGCAAGGTCAGAGTAGAAATTAGAAGTTTATTGAAGGACAGCAGAAAAGACTTCTCCCGGAGGAAGAAGGGGACCCAAGAGGTGGAATCCGTGGAAGTGCAGTTGTCTCCCCTTTTTATAGTTTTGGGGATGAAATGTAGGTTGGAAGGCCCGAGGGGTGGGACACTTCTTTGTGATGGGCTATCTTTAAGTTTTCTGGGGGCTGTTCATTAACACTTCTTTGAGGTGGACTTTGGCCTAGGGCCTTTTCGTACTTCATTAACATTCCATGAGTTGTCCTGTGTTTCCTGGAATCATTCTCAGCATGGCCTCCATTTTAGATTTCACTCGGTATTAGACCCGATTTACCTAACTATACTGACTACTTAACTTTAAATCTGGCTTCAATGTTTTCTCTGGGTCATCAAGTCTTCATTTCTAAAGGCTCCCTGTCATACAAAAATTTGATTAAATACATTTGCTATTTTTTTTCTCTTGTTAACTAGCTTTTTTGTTATGCAAGTTTTATTTATCTTATTTTTTGATATAACAGCAGAATGGGAAAATAACCTTTGTGAACAAATGAAGCTCATCTCTAGAAACAAAAATTTCCTCTTCTTTCCAGGATAAAAAAATAAAATAAAATAAAGTATTTGTTACTCAGTTGAATTTCTGGCTTAATGGAGATAATCAATATTTTCAATAATCATGTCTGTTATCTGATCAGGATAGGAAAAAATATATATATGCACGGGTGGGCTACATTCAGCCTGAAAGGCTTGGGTCTTGCACTGGGCGATTTTTTCAAGTTGCATAGCTGTGTGTGTGTACACTGCTGGCAGAGCACAAATCATGATAAATCTCTCTCTATTAAACACACTTAAGAGTTTGGGGACTTGGAGTTTTCCCACCTGGAAACAGACTTCCTGATTTCCACTCTTCCCTCCCTCCTCTCTCCATCTTTAATATAACTTCTTGCCACCCTCGCATGTAACACTTTTCTGAAAGATGAATTTTATCAGTATCTCCCTCAGTCAGCAAAAATCCTCAGGTACACAGCTTGTGGAAGCACAGCTTTTACCAAGACCTGTCACCATATTTAGCACAAAGAGGGGACAGTTTTCTTAACAATACTTCTACATTCGTATCTTCTAAGATATGGACATTAGGTGGGAGAGGTTTGCAGCTAGAGAGGGTTAATTATCATTCTTGGTGATCATTTGCATTTATATAGCACCTTTTATAGAAGCAAATCAAATCATTAAAGCTATTATCCTAATGAATGCAAGGCTGCAAGTGTCATTACCTCAGTGTATGTGGTGAGGCAGGGAGGGTCTCAGTGGAGTCAAAAGGGGAGCCAATTAAGTTTAGGTCGCCTCTGCACCTCTGAATCTGAAATGGTTCCCCTGAAGCTTATGGGCCTTGAGAGAATTCCTTTCAACACTTTGATGAGGTAATTTCTGAGCCTAATATGATGAAAAATTCTTTTTCATAATCCTGTGGAGTTCCTCATCTATGTTGTTTTCAGACAAAGCCTGTGTTCCAGCTTGTACCTGGAGCAGGCCTTTCTATAAATGCTTACCTTCAATACACCCCCAAATTTTGCCAGAGAGGTGCTGCTCCTGAGACTAGGAGGAATTTGGCATTTGCTCCATCATGCCCATTAAATTGCAAATCTTTGAAAGGTTCTAAAATCACAGATTCTCAAGATTAAAAATGATATTGAGGCCGTCTGCTCTAATTCTTCCTGAATGGCCTCAGTGGAAGTCAACCAAACATCCACTGGCTCCTATGTCATTCCAGATGTACAGCCCAATGATCATGATGAAAGAAACCTTTGAATTAGGGTTTCTTGAATTTGTTTCATCAGCATTCAATAGGTATGTTTAATGTTTTACAAAGTGCTCTGTCAGTGCCACACCCTTCGAACAAAGTGAAAAACCAAAGGAACACAGTCCCTGTCCTCCAACACCTTTGCTTCACCCCGAACTTTTGAAAGGCGAGTGACTCACTGGAGATGGAGATTCAACCAAGAGATTTTATTGTGGGGCTACCCAAAGGGGAAGAAAAGGAGAGGCAGAGAGGAGAGGAGAGAAGGAGGGCAGAGAGAGAGAGAGAGAGAGACAGAGAGAGAGCGCTGAGAGAAAGAGAAAGAGTAGAGAGAGGAGAGAGAGAAAAGGAAGAGGGCAGAGAGGAAGAGGGCAGAGAGAGAGCTTGTAAGCTTGGGCTTCAGAAGGGTTGTGTAGGTGATGTGGCGGGTGCTGATTGGCAGGGTGACTCAGCAAAGGCAAGTTGACACTGTGTCCCATGGGGATTGGTCAAGAAAACAATTCGGCACCCTTCGGAGAGGAGGGGGAGGGGCAAAGGATTCAGTGACATTCTCTTGAGAAGTGGGGAGTCTCCCACACGCTCAACACTTCCTACCAGGCTGTTAGGATTCTGAAGCAGGTTGAGGAAGGACCATGTCATCCTTCCCTGGGCATCACCTATGAGATGCTGTAAGTTTGTTAACCACCCTATTTTTCTGGTAAACGTATTCTAAACATTTCAACAAAATGTTCTCTTGAAACGGCAGTTTTCTCTTTAACTTAAACTTCTAAACTCTAAGACTCCCTGCTCAACCTTGTGTTTACCTACTATAAATTGTCTTTTTGTATCCATTAATCATTCCCTGAATTGTCTCTAATGCCATATAAAACAGTGCTTCTCCCCTGCCATATGCACAGGAATAATTCTGGGTTAATTCTTTTTTCCATTGCCTCAACCATGGTACTACAGTCATACAGACACATAAATAGAGTTTCTGAAGATCTTGTAGTGTTCCTAAATCAATCCTTCATGAGATAAAATTTCATGTGCCTTCACCATGTTTCTGCTTAAAGACAAGCCCTAAAATTAAAAAAAAAAAAAAATGGGCATTGAATAAGTACCTTGACATGGTTGTGAATATGTGATTTGTTCATTTGAACAATGAGAAAATTGTTTCTCAAAGTCAAAGGCCTGTTAGTAGATAAATGTCTAATTGAAGTTTTGAAGTCATTATCAGCAAAGAAACATAAAATCTTTTACACTCCTAGGCTATTGATTTTGTTTCTTTTATTTCTTGCCTTTTTTTTTTTTTGTCAGAATATTGTGTCTCCAACTAGATTTGGGAATTGAAATCAGGTAATGCACACCCCCATGCCAATGTTTTTTATCACATCTTCCCTTAGGCATTGCTTTGAGGCTCAGTGGTATCTCCCAAGCAATCAAGAACAATTAAATGATTATTGTTCTGGTCCTGAGCTACTTTCTACCTGTCACATTAAGATGATGGGCGCTTTCTTATTTATCCCAGGGCAGTTTCTTCCAAAACAACTATATAGAATTGTCAGAAAGATAAGATGGAGAGGCCATAAAGATAAAGGGAGAGGGTGGCTAGTCTGGTAGGGACTGATGAGTCTCCAGGATTCAAGATTTGGTCTTCTTAGGCCTCAAAACACAATGCTTCAAAATATGGCATTTGCACACACATTTTAAGCTGAAGCAAGCTGAGGAGAAGACTGAAGCAGGAAGGTTACTCTCTGCCCTTCTCCTGCCTTTCCACCTGGAAGCAGGCCCTAAGTGAATTCTCTAACATACCTCCTATGAAAGATCTCTTGACCCTCCCTCCAGAGGGTGCTGCCCTTTACTCACTGGCCAAGAAGAATTTGGACAAAGAGTCCTTGCTGAGATCCCAGGTTTATCATCATTAGATCATATTCCCATTTGTCCTTCACTCCCTGGAGGTATGACAGTCCATAAAAACACAGCTTTCCATAGGCCTTTAGTCTTCATTTTTTGAAGGCTCTTGTGTTGCCGCAGTCTGGCTGGGCAGACCTGGGGGATGGGTGACAAGCAACTTGTGAAGGTTGACACAGCGGGAGCCGCTTTATTATGGGACAGAGAAGTATATATATACCCAACTAATTACACACAGCTTAACTTAATTAACATAAACTAGATACAGCAGTCAACCAATAAGGAATCCTCATCATCTTAATGATGACACACAGCTTAACTTAATTGACATAATCTAGACACAGCGGTCAGTCATTAAGGAATCTCCATCATCTTAATGGCTCCATGGTGTCACTTCTCAAACCGCTCCTCTTGGCAAAGTGCCAGGTGCCATCTTGACTTGTCTGTGGTCCTCAACATGGTGTCATGTAAAACATATATTAAATAACTAAGTAGGCCTTTATCTTTTTCATCTTGTTGTTGTTGTTATAAGGGTATCAGTTTGGAGAGCAGGCGCTGATGTATGGAACAGCAGTGTTCAGGTTGTGCTTAAACCTTTGTGACTTCATTTTGTAAGCTACCCCATTTTGGATTTAAGCGCTGAGGTGGAGTGACTCCACACCTTGTTTATACAAATAAACAACCACCCTCTGCCTGGCACAATCATAGGCATAAACTGATAAATAAATTAATCATGCTAATAACAATGACCACCTGTAAACTTATCAAATTAATCAGAAGCATATGGATGTACGGGTGTATCAAACTCATATTGGAAAAACCAGACGCACAAGTTTATCAAACACACCATACTACCAAATGATGCAATCTGCTTACTGGAGATCCATAAAAGGAGGAGCCCCTCCCCCCCCCCCCAAGACTGAACCAGTGGTATCTTGACCCTCTCACCTCATCACTCCTCTGGGAGCCTTGTCCAGGAAAAAATCACCATGGCAATGAATCTCTTAATCTCCGTCCTCAGGCTTTAGAGAGTGCAGTTTCTTCTGTCTGTGACAACCATGAAAGACCCACTCCAAGCTAATATCTCAAGCTGACACTGTGAAACTGTCATCCATCTGGACATTGGCCTAGAATAAGTTTCCATACTTTGACAGCTCTGCACCTTGAACAAGTTCTTCCCTGGTTTCTGATCTTATCTGACCACCTACAGTGACTCTCTACATCCTTATGCTTTCTGCCTTTGTGCTCAGTTCTGAATCCTTTGCCTGTCTTAACCCTTTATTAGCCTTTCTGCATATATATATATATATATATGACACAAATGTGTTGTTGTTGTATATGTTAATAATACAGCACCCTTGTGACAATCAGCTATGAATCTTGTGATGAGTGAAGAAAGGATACGATTTTCTTTCCTCTACAGTCCACAATTTTATATTTGCAGTGCTTTTCAGAATCTTCATTTTTTTTTAGAGTCTTCTACTTTAAATTCTTTATTTTTGCATGACCAGAGTTGATGGGAGTCTTGGATATTCATAAGACATTGACATATTGATTACATTTTCAATTATTAGTTTGATATAAATAAACAAAAATGAAATGGAAGTTGGGATGTGAAAGCAGCAAGGTAGCTTTTGGTAACTAGAACAGTGATGTCTGCGAACCTACTTCCTAGCGTCACTGTGCATAGGGAGTTAAGTGGTCTGTCATATACTTTGTGAACACTTAGAGCATAGTAGGAATAAAATAGGAAAGAGATAATGGACATGAGCTTTGTTCCTCCATGGGTTTATCTGCAAAAATCATCTGTAAGAATGACTTTGAACCTAACTCATATGTTGTGAGAAACGAATGATCAAAGAACAGAGCTCTGAATAATCGCTCAATGTGAGATATTTTTCAGAAACCAGAATTAAAAGGTTTGCACAGTCTAAAAGCATATTTCATCCAGGTTTCCTGAAGGATGACGAATTCTCTGAGATGACAGTAGAATTTGCCATTCTGATGCCAGAAGACCCCATTTCACCAGATCCATCATTCTCCTTCTGGACAGCTTTAGTTAACTTTTCCCAGATTCTTCACTTTTCTCACCAACCCCCTGGCAAACATTTCAGTACTCCAAGCCTCAACTTTTCTTTCAATCCTCTTCTTGATGAGTCTACCCTTGTGTTCATCACAACAGCATTTTTGCAAACAACATCATTTCACAGGAAAACAATTACATCTATGTGAGTTTACATCTATGCCAATGTTGTGCAGCCCTTTTAAACTGGCCATATCCATTTCCAATTCTTTCAAGGAGTACCTGCTGCTTTCACATCCCAACTTCCATTTCACTTTTGTTTATTTACATCAGAAAAATTGCCCTCATTTTCTTTGGAAAATCACTCTTGTTCACATTCTTAGTCTTTACTCTCCGGGTTTGTCCTGTCCTTTAGAGGCAGAAGGCATGTGATCCAAAGTTGGCTCCTTTGTGTTCTTCCACTCCAGCTTCAATAACTGGTTCAGGAGTGGGGGCTTGATTGAAGTAGCCAATGGAAGCTCATCTTGGGATTTTCAAAAAACCTGGATGCAAAAGTGAGAGGATCCTGTAAAAGCCTCTTGATATTTGCAGCCAAGTTGCCTCTTCAGTGACCAAACAGATGAAGCCTGTGACCTCACAGAGTCAATAGACAAAGGTAACTTGAGTGTGCATAGGGAACAAACAGAGATAAATGCAAAGTGGACAAGGTGGAAGCAGCCTGCTTTTTCTAAAATTGTCCAAATAGGCTTATTAAAGCAGATGGCATTGGAGCTGAGATCCAAATGAAAAGGAGACTGGTGCATAAAGATCATATACATAATTCCTAGAAGAAATGGCCTAGGAATGTGTTTTAGTTATCTTTTTTTGCTGCTAGGACCAAAAAGACATGACAAGATCAGAGAGGAGAAAAAGTTTATTTTGGAGCTTACGATTTCAGACGTCTCAGCCCATAGAAGGCTAGCTACATTCCTCAGGGATGTGAGGTGAGGCAGAACATCATGGCAGAAAAGTATAGTGGAGAAAAGTAGCTAGGAACAGATGCCAGAAAGCAGAAAGAAAGATTCTGCTTGTCAGATACAAAATATATACTCCAAAGCCACATCCACAATGCCCATCTCCTCTAGCCACATCATACCTACCTTCAGTTACCAACCAGTTAATCCCTGTCAGGGGATTAATTCACTGATTTGGTTAAGGCACTCATAATCAATCATTTCATCTCTAAACCTTCTTGCATTATCCCACACATGAGCTTTTGGGGGATTACATCATATCTAAACTGTAACAGGATGTCTGATTATTAAAAGAAAAATCTACTGGGGCCAGATAGCCAGACAAGAATATTAAAAGTAGATGTTATACCTATAGGCTGCATCCTGATTACTTAAATTCTCGTAGACCTGGACAACATGTGAAATTTATTCAATTTACAGTGCAGTGCCACTGGAGATTTTAAGCAGATGGGTGATGTTCACAAAGGTCAGAGAAAACCATTATGACTTTTGCTCTTATGATCTTAAGCAAGTTTTTATAAAGGTATTTTCATAATATCATTCAAATAAGCTTATTTATTAAATTTCTAGCATGTCGTAATTCCCATCATTAATTTTTAATGCCCAAGGTTTGTATTAATGGCTAAGTGCACTTTTGCATAAGCCACAGACACAGTGTTACTGGAGCTTAGTTCTCATTCAAACTGAACAGTCCTGGAGACAGGGACAACAGAAACAAGAGGAGTTGGGAATATTCTCAAAAGGTCAGTGAGTGATGTAGAGAAGGAAAACTAAGACAACCATGCAAATCAGTAAAGCCCCAAAGGCTGTTTCTGAAAATAAACAAGCCAGGTCCAAAAGCAAAACTGGCAAACAAGGTACAGGATTGAATGTCTCTTCACATTTGATAATGATTTGTTTGCTCCTGGATTTAGCTAATATGCCATTCATGAGGCACATCTGGAGGAAACCAACAAAACATACTTTTAAAAAAAAAATTATCTGAGCATCATTTGCTTTTACTAATGACTAAATAAAAATCGGTTTACCAAACCAATCCATTTTAGGCTTAGGTAACAAATATCAAAAATAAAATGTGTTGAAATCTCAGGGATCTTTGTGAAAAATTGTTACTTTTAAGGAAGTAATTTAGTCTCATATGTCTAATTTTGAGTACTTCCCATGATCTAATTGTATTTTTTGAAGCCTTATTCAATATACAGTGCCCCATCACTAGTCTGTAGGCCATGACCACTTCCAAACTTATTCAAAAACTTCTTCTGTCTTTCAATCATAGGCAAAATGTGACTAGATGGAAGTGCTAAACACGTCTCTGATTGTGCATATTTTTGTGACATTTAAAATTTTATTTAATAAATATATAGAGAGCAAGTGTTATGTTCATACAAAGAGCTACTTATAAAGAATATAATAATAAACAAAAACACAGGATCTCTGTTTAAGAAGCTTGAAGAAGCATTATAGGTTAGTGGGATAAGTGATACATGAACATAAATCAGAGATGTTGCAGAAAAATAGGAAGGTTAGGTGGGGTGCTTCCTGGAGATGATGATTGTGGAGCTGATCCTTGAAGGATACATCAGAGAGAACCCCAGATGCAAGGATCAGAGGGCGAGGAAAGAGAAAACACGCATTGCCAGAGAAAATGTCAGTAACCTGACTGTGTAATTTCAAACATCTGTCAATAAAAGCAAAGAGAAGGTAGTAAATTTGTGGTTTCTTTGATCCCCTGCAATCAGTGAATGAAGTCTACAGGTAATAGACTGACTCTGAAAACATAAGACATGAGTAGAAACAATCATCATCACAAGTTTGGGGAGGTTAATAAACTATCCAAATAAAACACAACCCCACACTCTATTTAGTTTTAACTATTTAGTTCACCAGTTTAAAAATATTATAACCTGCTTAATTCCAATACTATTTTGAAGAAGTCATATACACACATACACACCCACACACATATTATTATAGTTTATGGATACACATGTGGGTGAGTATACACACACACACTCATGTGTGTGTGTGTGTATAAGAAGTGAGGAGTTGGGGGATTGGTCACTGGTAATATTTATATAGTACATTAATGGTATAAAGTCTGCGGTGTCATGTGTTACAAGATACCCCTTCAAGGGTACAGGGAATATGAGAGTAGCTGGCAAACCTCTACCAGCTGCCATATCTTTGGATCCACTGCAGTGTTTCCCCAAAGGCCATGCTCACTCTAAGTTGCTCAAAGCCACTGATGGAGATTGGTGGGTGGCCACTCTACAGTTTCTGCTGACACAGGGATCTTTTAATAGGTAGTCTGTTTGGCAGCTCCCGTTTGTCTGGGCTGACTTACACAGAGGCTCAATGCAGTCTGAAGTTTTAACTAAACAATCATTTTCCCTTCTCTCTCCCCTTTTCCAGGAAACAGACCTGTATCATAGCCTGAAGAATCCCTGAATAGTTTTTCTCCATCTTACATTTATCTTTACAGGCATTACACCAAATAAATTGGTGGCTAATTCTATTTAGATATCTGCTTCTTGAAAGAACCAAACTGAAACAAAATCCTTATATTATCCCCAAAAGTTGGGCAAAGCAGGTTCCAAAAAATATCTGCAGGCATTAAAAAGTGATGAGACAACAAAATTGGGTGGGAGGTAGAATTTGGTATCTCAGTGGTTTTTATTTGAATTTCCCTAATTAACAGAATTGAATGTTATTTCACATAGCTTTGGGGTATTTATATGTCTTCTTTTAAGAAATGTCGATTCTGATATTTAGCCTATTTTTAATTGGTTGATTTGTTCTTTTGTTTTTGAATTGTGTGAGTTACTTATATATTCTGATGCATAGTTTTCAAACATTTTCTTTCATTATGTAAGTTGTCTCTTTGCTCTGCTGATTGTTTCCTTTGCTGTATGGAAGCTTCTTAGTTCTATGTAGTCCTATTTATCAATTTTGTTTTTGTTGCCTAGGCATTTGGGGGTTACAGCCAAAAAAAAATTCATTGCCTAGGCCAATATCCTGAAATGTTTCCCCTGGTTTTTCTTTTGATAGTTTCATAGTTTTCATCTTATATTTGACATAACTGCTGAGATATTGGTGATATTAGTAACTGGTGAGAGATAGTTGCAGGAAACAAAATAAGTACTCAAAAATCAGTAGCATTATATATATAGATAGTGAGCTATCTGAAAAAAGAAATCAAGGAAACAGTCCCATTTACAATAGCCACAAAAAATACTTAGGAATAATTTTAACCAAAGAGTTAAAATCTCTCTAGAATGAAAACCCCAAAACACCAATGAAAGTAATCAGAGGATACAAATAAATAGTGAGATAGCTATCTCAAGTTCATGAACTGGAAGAATTAATACTGTGAAAATGTTCATCTTAGATTTTTATAGAACCTCAAAAGTATCTCTTCCTTTAACAGAAAATACTCTTTATACAATAACAATTCAAAAATTATTTTTTTAAATTATTTTTTTATGTTTCAAGTTTGAAAAGCTGTTTAACTAGCAGCCACCAACAGTTTCTCATAAGTGCAATTTTCATGGAATAACTGAAACTGATATAAAAAAGATAATTATTTGACTAATCTGAATGATAAGTTGGTTTAATTTTTAGATTATATATTAAGCAGTAAATACATTATCAAGTACTCATAGAATGTTTTAAAATGGATAACAAATATAACCTGAATCAATTTTCAGAAGAAAACCTTGAAAGGTTATTATTCTCTGACCAAAGTGTGATAACACTCTAAAATAAAAGTCAAAATAAATATTATTAGAAAAATTGCCAAAATATTAGAAATTGGTTGGGTTATGTTATCAGTTTTCACTATGAGCCACAATGAATTATTTTTTCTTCTCTCTCTCTTTCTCTCTCTCTCTCTCTCTCTCTCTCTCTATCTATCTCTCTCTCTTTATTTTTTCTTTTATAGTACTGAGGATTAAACCCAGGAACACTATACCACTGAGTTACACCCCCAACACTTTTTATTTTTTTATTGTGAGACAAGTTTCACTAGGTTGCTGGCCTTGAATTTACAATCCTCCTGCCTGAGCCTCCTAAATTTCTGGAATTGCAGGAGTGTGCCACTGTACCAGGATCCTCAATGAATTCTTTTTGCCTTGAAGAAGAAAATATAAATTATAAAGAGATAAAGTTAATATAATGAGGGGAATATTTGAACTTAGGTTATGGAATGAATCTTTTGAATACCATAAAATTTAAAGGTAACCTGAGAGGTGCATTTATAACAAATTTCACAGAATAATAGGTTGATGTTATTTTAATGTATATTTCTAGACAACTATTAAGGGTCCTTAATGTTTTTCTCTAGATAAATCGTCCCTGCTTCTTTCACACTAAGTTTTTATTGCCTTTAATTATCTTTAAGACTGTTTTCTAAACTAGCAAAGTTCTGCTTGTTCTAAAGGTAGGATACTCAAAATTAAATATGTCTCTCAAATAAAATAGCTCCATTATTAGATGACTGGGATGGGAAAATGAACTGGCTTCTGACCTATACATGCTATATTTCATCTTGATGGTCTTATATTTATGCTGTCAGAGTCA